CTTAGAGGACACCACATGAGGATGAATGGGTTGGGGGCCCTCACAAGTGTAGATCTATGTGGGAGGAGACTAAGTACTAAGTTTCCAGGTTTCCAGACTAAGACTAAGTGCAGGTTGATCCCTGCTGGGTGGAAACCTGGTATGCTAAGTGATTTTTCAAAATAACACTACTGTATTTTTCTTTTAGGTATTTATGTCTATACTGTCACCAACAGAGTCCTAGAAATATCTGGCTAGGAGCTACTGCTGTAGTCCTTGTCTTTTGAAATAATAAAACCTCTTCTTCCTTTCCCAATTGTACTCATACACCCAAGATGGTGACTGAGGTTGGGGTGAGAAAGTAGATCCAGGGACACTACTTCAATAGCTATTGAACATTGGGTTCCAAGGTCCCTGCTCAGTAGTGGAAGGATTCCTCTGTCATGTCTGACTTTTTTTTGGACTTTTTTTTTTAAGGATTTTATTTATTTGACAGAGAGAGAGTGCGCACAAGCAGGGGGAGCAGAAGAGGGAGAGGGAGAAACAGGCTCCCTGCTGAGCAGAGTGCCCGATGTGGGGCTCGATCCCACCTGGGATCATGACCTGAGCCGAAGGCAGATGCTTAACCGACTGAGCCACCCAGGCGCCCCCAGACTGACTTCTTGATCACTTTTTTTTTTTTCCTCTGGGCTGGATCAAGACATAGATAGCATGCAAATTGTATTTTTGGATACAAAACTCAGAAGCATGGATCACTGACAGGCAGAATGACAATTCAACAGGATTCTGTAGCACTGGCCTTAGTGAGCAAGATGAAAGTCTTGACTATTGGTACACATCTGGAGAAATGGGTTTGGATGTGTGTCTGTGGGAACACCTTTGAGAGGGGTTTGCGAGATACAAATATTTAGAATTACTGTCAAAGAAGAGTTGATGGGGCCAGGGGTGTTTAAATGGGAGAAGAGTTGATGAAGGGAGAATCCAATAAGCATCATCATCTAATTTAGGGGTTGGCATATAGGAGAGGGATGATAGATTACCAGTGGGCAATAGTTAAAGGGAAACAGATTCTAACTCAACTGAAGAATGCATTTTCTGAAACTGGACCTGTCCACAGACAGAATGGGCTTGTACGGGACTGAGCTGGTCATTGCAAGTATGTGATAAAGACTAGATGGCCATCTGTCTGCAATGGTAATGAAGAGCAGGATGGACCCAAAAGAATGAAATATTCTTTATTAAGACCTGACTGATCTAGAATCCCACACTTCCTTGCATGCATGATTTCTAGATTCTGCTATTTTCTTCTCTCTATATTTGATACTTCTTAAAGTATTTACTTGCTTTTGTAAATAATGGCTTTAGGGGCACCTGAGTGGCTCAGTCAGTTAAGCAACTGCCTTCAGCTCAGGTCATGATCCCTGGGTCCTGGGATGGAGCCCCACATCGGGCTCCCTGCTCAGCGGGGAGTCTGCTTCTCCCTCTGCCTCCTCCTCACCAGCTTGTGCTGCCTCTCTTGATCACTCTCTCTTTCATAAATAAATAAATAAATAAATAAATAAATAAATAAAATCTTTAAAAAAAAGAGTGGCTTCAGGTAATAGGAGAAAATAAATTACACAGGCAAATACACCAAGTTATTACACTTAAAAAAAGGAAACCTTAACATTGACAACATTGACACATCTAATACTTCAACATTTATTATAATTGTGTACATTAATCTGGGTTAAGCAAATGTGATTAAAAAACTAGACAATTAAAAAGAAGCAAAAGTATAATGCAACCACCTCTCTTAAGTCTGCAGAATTCTATGCCTTTTTAGACATGAAAGAGGCTGTTCTGAATAGAAATCAATATTGATCTTACAAGCTTTCTATCAATTTCTTGCATATTGATTCTAAAACCCCTTTAAAGGCAGAGTGTATCTCAAAGGTGGAGAAGTCAGCCTATCTTGGACCTTTTTATCCTGTGCTCCATCAACTGGGCCTATACTGATTCAGGGTTGGTACCTCCCACACTAAGGAGCAGCCTTTTTTTCCCTTTTACTCATTCATTCAGCAGATACTGATACCTATGTATCAGTGTCTCCCATGTGCTGAGTTCCATGCTGTGGGCTATACTTGAGGAATACCAGCTCATGTTTAGTGTTGGTACATGACATATTTTACCACTTTTCCCCTCCAGAGCAAATCTAATGCACATCTATGCAAATAAATGGAGTGTTCCTCTCTGATCATTTGGTGGGAAGACAAATCCACCACCCAATGTGCATAGGACTCACAAACTGGAGAGAGATGGAGACATTTTCTAATTAAATCAAGAGAAGAGACCCTCATCTTTCTTCAGAAAAACTCTCAGGTTGTTCTTTCTCTCAAGGACCTTAACACAGTGATGCTGGTCCCAAAGGCAGGGGAGCTTAGTTGAACCTGAGCAGAGTATCAGCTGACTGCATGGATGGGCCTGCAATCTGTTTAGACAGCCAACAGGTTTCTGTGTTCCAGGTACTTGGGACCCCAGTAGTTGCTGCTATCTTGGAACAGTCTGTAGCGAAAAATAAGTTACTGAAGGCCCTGGACTCAGATCAGCTAGCTTACTGGGGTTTCCCTGGGTTGACAAGCTCTTCTTTGGGAAGGTCTGTGAGTCAAATCTCTACCCAGCAGAGAAATCTGAGTTCAGAAGAGCATCTTAGTTCAGAATTTTTTTCATGGAAAGGGGAGGAGAGGGAAGGCGGTCAGTTGGCATTTGTGGTACTTTATAGGGAGACCTAGGATGCCCAGAGGAGAAGCATGATTTAATACTTTCATCTCTTTGTAAGAAGAGTATGTCTCAGGGGAGGCCTGAGGAGGGCAGTGGTACCTGGTAAAATGAGGTAACCTCCGCACAGTGCTTGGTACAGTACAGTCACCACTAAATCAATGCTTGGTATTGTGGTTACTGTTACTGTTACTGTTACTGAAGAGAACATGGGTTCTGGAGAGAGACAGCAATGATTCCACATAATGCAATGACCACCTTCTGAGCCTCAAGATCTTCATCTGTAAACTGGGGACAAGAATACCCTCTGCATAGGATTAGTATAGGAATTAATGCCATCACTTTGTGATAATGCCTGATATGTAGTAAGGCCTTGAGAAATGTTAACTGCTTTTCTCCCCTTTTAATCCTGCTGGAGTCTATATACCCTAAAACCTACTTTAGAAGATTTTCCTGTAACTATTGGGAATTGAGGGCAAAGGTATTAATCAACTATCAAAATTCAGACACAGATGTTTCTTTGGTTGGTGGCCTCCTAAGAATCACACCCTATAGAATTTAAACTTAACTGTGTGACTTTCTAATACATGCCCACATGCCTGCAGGAAAAAAAAAACAACAACCTCAAATATAGTGAAAAGTGGGAAGGAGAAGATAATTAAAATCTGCTATATAATTCAATCAAAAGCAACTAACTACTTTGAAACGTGTATGGAAAGTTAAAATATATATATATATATATATATATATATATATATATATAGACAAGCCAAATATTAGCCTATACCAATCCCTAGCATTCAATGTCTGCAATTTACCCACCAGACATCATCAAGTCTTCAACCTGGCCCCTCAGAAGCTTTAGGGGATTTCCTGCTTTCAAGTCCCAAAGGTACACTTAGAGCTGTGACCTAGAATGTGGGTTTGCTCTCTGTCCCAAAAGTCAAGACACACTGAAACCCATGCTCCTGCCTATTGTACCAGGCCACCTAAAACTCATCAGGAGGCCAACCTGTCTTAGGAAAGCTAAGATTAAATTCTTGTTCAATACTTTTTTCTTGAGCCTGAAATAAGATCATGGACATAAAGTGCTTTCTAAGTTATAAAAAGCTACAAACACAAGTAATTATCATAGCATCATTAAGATACTCTACTGGATGTAAGCAGTTCAACTTGAGAGGGGCAAAAGCATGACGAAGTCAAATGGGGAGGGATAAAGTAAGGGAAGAGAAGCCAGCAACTTGGGGCAACTGGGGACAGCCAAACTTGTCCAGGAGTCATCAGCTTCTTCTCAGCCTGGAAGAACTAAAAGAAAATAGTAGTAGTTATGAGACTGGAAATACACATCCAATCCAATAACCAGTCAGAGGTTCTTGGGGTTGATGTTTCCAGGCATTAGGAGTAGTAGTCCAGATTAATGTGTCTTCTAGAGAGAAGGCAGAACAGGCATGTAGCTGGTGGAAAGCCTGATTGCTACCCATTCCCATTGCCTTCAAGGTAGATATTCTGCTCCGTGCTTCTAGCTGAGGAGGTGCTAAGGAGGAGGGGCTGCCAAGATCTGGAAAGGCAGTGTCCTATGGGCACCAGGCCCCATGCAGCTCACACACGGGTCAATTCTGCTGGCTTTTAGCCTGCAAAACTGTCTTCAAGCAGTATTGAAAATGCAGTCCAAAGGTGCCCAAGTAGCCCTTCCTGGTCAGGCCAGCCCCAGGATGGCACCATCCCCTCCCACACATGCCCCCTTATCCTGGCCTTTACCTGCTACTGGCCCCCCACCTGTATCTTGTTTTATTGAACACTTTGGTTTTGAGTCCTGATCTGATGCTATACAAGCAATTGTGGAGGTGGTCCAAGGGAATGTAGCAAAGAGCCCTGGATTTGAATTCGAAGTCCTGGGTTAGATCCTGATTCTGTCATCCACTAGCTAGGTGTTTCCCCAGGCCCTTTTCCTTTTTAGGTCTTTATTTGCTTGTCCTCAAATGAGGCTAACAACACAGGCCTGGCCAGCATCCCAAGACAGCTGGAGGGCTCACCTGAGGCGGTACATGGAAGGTGTTTCTTGAGAGGAAGAGACCATGACCCCTGCAACTTAGAAGTGTCTGTGGGGGAGGGTCTTTATCTGTGCTACCTAAAACTTCAAAGTCTCATAGGGCTTCCCTAAACACAAAGGTTAAGAGAGATAACAGTATCCTGGATTGAGACTCAGGGGGAGACCAGGGCACATTTCTTCTCCCTAATAAGTTTCCTGGCTACTTGGCACCCACCTAGAAGAGCTTCTCATAGCATTTCCCACAATGGATGGTGTCACGGTGAATGAAGATCTGATCCAGGAGCTCACCCATTGGTTTACTGCAAATCCCACACTGAAAGAGAAAGCAAGCTAAAGGTCAACATGCATATGAAGCAACATAAATGGGTGGAGTGTGGAGGGTGCACCTGAGCAGACACTGAGCTGGTGGCACATCCTGGACTTTGAAGCAGACAATAAAAAAGAGTTAGAAAACCGAGACAAATCTCAAACAAACAAAAAAACTCACACAAACTACCAGGTAGGATGATCACATAGTAGTTAGGAGCCCAGGTTTCAGAAATTGGCCTGGGTTTGAGCCCTAAATCCACTACTTATTAGCCAGGTGAGCTTTGGCAAGTTACTGAGGCTCTCTGAGCCTCTATTTCTTCACATATAAAATAGGCACAGTGGCAGGTTACCATGAGGATATAGTGAGGTAGTCCACACAGGGTATTCAACCTGGGATCATACACAAAGTAAGTCATTGCTGTTATAGGAGAGCTGTGGGACTTTAGTTGTGATGTTTAAGGTCCAAAGAAGGTGATATGAAAATCTAATAAAAGGGAAGGCTATTTACAGGAGTGTAGCTCTGCTTTCCTCATGACTCTTATACCTGTCACTCTAGTGGACACCTAAAGGACAAGAGTGGCTAGTTATCTGCAGCAGGCCTTCCTGCAGACAGTCTTGAATAAGAGGAGTCGTGAGTCCCCAGGTGTCTGGGTCTCCAATGATTTCCAAGCCTGCCCTGGGCTGAGCCTTCTGCTTATTCAGCTCCCAGTCCTGCCAAGCCTCTGACATGCAGCACAATCACACAGAGATCAAGCCTTCTTTACACTCTGATCCATGAGGCTCCCTAACTCTGGACCATGGTAGCAGCACCACCCTTCTTCCTTACCTTAAAGCAATAGTCATGGCAGCAGATGCCAAGATGCTCTAGGGTAATCTTTGGACAGTCTCTGATCTCCTGGTTGCAGTAAGTACAGATCCTTCCACTTGTTCTGTGAGATGAAAAACAAGAACTTGGCAGTCAGGCTGACATGCAGACTACTGATGTGATGCAGTCAGACCTTCTGGTTTGACACAGCCAGGCCTAAATGCCCAGATTCTCAGCCTGCCATCTTTTTCTGTAGTGTGCAATTGGTTGCATATCCCTGGGCTGGATTGGGTCTCAGCCCACTGTAGACCCTCATGATATTTCCAGAAATTGGTCATGTAGCTTCACCCTACTTGCAAACCATATGGGGACCACAAGACCTCCTGGTATGATTCTTGTTCCAAGCAGCTTGCCTCTCCCTGACCCTTTGCCTAGCATACTGGGGGTACTACCCCCCTCTAGAACAGGAAGACCCATGTCTTCTTCTACAGGAGACATACCCTTGTATGCCCTACCTGGCCCCCTGTCTTGATGACCCTTCTCTTCATGCCTGGGACCAGTAAACCTTGCCTCTCAAACCCTACACTCTTGAACCCACCCTGCCCCATGATACTCCAAGGACCATCACAAAGACAGTACGGCTGTAGAGCCTGCTGGGACCTCATGTTGAAGTTCTAGATTCTAACTTCTAGGCTGAGTATCTCCCCACTTTGAGGATCCCTGCCTTTGTTCCCGAGAGTCACCCCTGCTTCTCCTCCTCAGAGACAACCTGCTGAAAGTGCCGGCCTGCCGTGATCCTTCAGGTGTAAATTGTGAGTGCTTTCTTCCAGAGATTTGAGTATGCTTTTGACAGGAGCTAGGGGTGGTGCTACCAACCTGGAGCCACATAGGCTCCTCCCTTCAAAGGCTCAGAATTACCGTGAGCATCTCCGGTTTGGTCCCTCCAACATGCTGCTGGCCCAGGGCTCAGTCTCTTGACAGTGTTGCTAAAGACTCCTGCCTTTATCAAAGCCCTGTTCCCCCCACCCCCATGTATTTTACCATCACCAGTTTCAGCTCACAGTTAGTCAGATAATACAGTAGAAACATCCTTGACCTCGGAGTAGTCAGGGACCCGGGGTTTAGTCCTGGCTCTGCCACTAACTCATTGTGTAACATAAGACATATTATTTATTCTTTCCAGGCTTGTCTCCTCCACTGTGACCCCAGTGAACTCCATCTCCAAGACTCCTTTCTCTTCTGTTTCAAGAATTTTAAAACAGGACTTCTTTATCATTAAGACCATTCTGTGACCACTGTCATGTAGTGACAGCTTTTGAAACTGCTGAATGGCAGCCTCATTCAATTCAAATGAATGGCTCTCTCTGGCTTCTTGATGATCGCAATCCACTTTTCTTAACTTTCCACCCACCACTCTCTTTTGTAGTTTAGGTTTTTTTTTTTTCTTTCTGGTCATATGTGCAGGTTTATTAAGTGATCATTTACATTCTAATCCCAAGGCCTCTCCTGCTGACATGAGCTCCCTGGGCTTTCAGACACCACCATTTCCCTTCTTAGTAGCCCTCTGAGTTTGCCTTCTGGTCTTAGCTGGGTTCAAAGTTGCCACAAGTGTAACATCCCAATAAGGGAAGCATCATCCAAGTAGTGGTGTGACAGATCTGCAAGTGGATCAGAAGCAGCCAAGCATAAGACAAAAGCAAATGGACTCTGTGTGGAAATGTCCCTCAGCTGTTTCTTCTCTGTAGACCTGAGAGCTCCCTGGTAAGATAGCAGACTTACCTCTTAGAGTACAGAGAGCTGTCACATGCAGGTTTCTTCTCCATGTCACATGAGTCCTCAGTGCTTCTAATACTGCAGAGAGTATGATGGGAGCAAGATGACTACCACGGTCATGAGTGGAAATGTTTTGCTAATATTATTAACCTTGTGGCCACAAGCCGAGACATGATTCTGCATGACCCACCATCATCTGTTATGCTGAGTGGCAGGGAAAGCTTTGAACTTCATGCCAGAGAGGCATAATTCTCTGGAAGAAGAGCCCTTCCAATGGGGGGGGCAGGGAATACCTGCCATGCTGAGGAAGATGACAAGATTCACTGATCAGTAGGATGGGATCAGGGCTTTTCTCCCCACATACGTGTCTGCATTACAATGTGACAGTCACCAGGAGCCCACTCGCAGCAGAAATCAGACATTAGGAATGGGAACAAATAAAAGAAGGAAACATTCTAACATATTACCTGTGCTTGAGTTACAGGGGGGATTGAGGTGAAGTTTTTTTTTAAATTTTTGTATCTTCATTTTTCAGTAGTATGACTTTTGATAATAAATACAAATGGTTAAAAAAATAAAATCCTATTGCCAGGAAAATGTGACTAGCTACAAGCCATGGGACACACGTTAGTGATACTGCCCAGGTTCTGTTTTTTTTTTTTTTTTTTCTGAGCATTAAGTTTATCTCTAAGCTTCCTGGAAGGTAAAGCGAAAGGAGAAATCACACTAGACTGTACAATCCTCCAATAAAGAAACTCTACTGCTTTTTTCATAAGATATAACATCTTAACCGAATGTAAAATTCAGTTTTAAAATACATTTAATTGTCAGACTGTGTAAGAATTAAACTTAACAGAGTGGTGGGAATGGGAGGAGAAAAACCAGGAGATAGAGTACAATCAAGTGACACTCATAGACGTAAATGCTAGATGGCAAGGACAGCTCCCTGAAAAAAAAAAAAAAGCCATAGAGATGGAAAATAGATCAGTGGTGGCCAGGGCCTATGGCTGGTGGTGTGGGGGGTTGCTAATGGGTATGGGGTTTCCCTTTGGGGTGGTGAAAAAGTTCTGGAATTGGATGGTGGTGATGGTTGCAAACATGGTGAATGTACTAAACACCACTGAATTATATACTTTAAAGAGTGAATTTTATGATATGTGAGTTGTATCTCAATAAAGTTATTGACAAAAACCACCCTAAGGAATTACAGATGAAGAAACTGGGCTCAGGAAGACTGAACATCAAAAATGACCCAACCAATGGGGTCAAGCTCGGGCTTGAACTTGACACCTATGGTCATTATTCCACAGTACCAGTGAAAGCTGGTTCAGAATCCCCAGAGGCCCGATCCCGAAGTAAGGCCAGGGTGTTCCTCTCTGTTACTAAAATCCTCATCCTAGCGGTGAAATGATGTGTCATAAAAAAAACATTCCCAGAGGAATGCTGTCCCGGTGCGCATTACTTTTTAACTGAGGTGGCATGAAGGTATCTTTCCATGTGGCATCACAAAGCAACCAGATGAAGAGATGATGACTGAAGAGTTACGCATATATCAGGATCTGCAGTCAAACGTGTGTTCAATGTGTGCAGTCAAACATGAGGCACCCTGGCATGCTGGAAAGAGCATGGGAGCTTAAGAGAGGAGCCCTGTGCTCTGAAACATGATGGAATTAACTAGGTAAAAAGTCCCTAAGGGCCTTGTCAGCTCTGTAAAGAGCAAAGCTCTCAGAATTTTACTAAAGAAAGCTTGTCTACCAACAAACAAAGCTAGGCAGAAAGGGATGGCACTGGAAGTGGGGTGTAGGATGAACTGACAATAGAGGGGGAACACAAAAGCATTGACTTAGGTAGAACAGCTTGAAATTCATAAATCATGTCTGTGGGCAATTGGATCATTCACCCATTCAATAAATGATTATACAGAAACAACTCTGGGCCAAGCCCCAGACAAGGCACTGGAGATCCAGGATCATGGAAGGATCTGGGACTTGCTCTTACCTGCTGTAGCATGAAGACACTGGCTTCCCGGAGGATAGCTCACTAGCATTCATGTATTCCTTCACAAAGAGAATCCCTTTGCTGTAGAAGGAGCACAGTAGAACAGAAAGAGGTATACTGAAAGATTCTAGGGGACTGGGCCTGGCCCAGAGGAGGGGTCCAGGGCTAGGAGGGTTCCCACATGGTTTGAAGGAAGTAAAGGACCTCATGGTAAATCCCGGGAGTAGAAGTGCTGATGGGCTCTAGCTACCACCAGGCAAGGAAAATGGCAAACAGGAGCTGCTGCCCGCTGAGCACACCGTGGACTGGGCTGAAATTGAAGCCTGCTATGTGCAGATTTGAGAACCCTAGAAAAAGGTTCCCTGGAGCCACTGTCAATATGCTTTCCTTCTTCACGTAGATCTCTACGCTATGGGAGGCTTGTCCCCCACCTCCCCAGACTCCAGTACAGTGAACTTTCCATCCTCTCTGACTGCATTTTCTTTCCCTTTTATCTGGCCCAGGATATAGCCTTCAAGCTGCAGACATAGACTGTTGGTCCTTGCCACTCTGTGTGAATCTCCACCAACAATCTAATCTCTCCCTTCTCCGTGTCCTAGATAGGTCCCTGGCCACACTGGAAGTCTGCCTCATGTTGGGCTCACCATGGCCCTGAATTTGGCCTTTATCAACCTGGCTTGATGTTATCAGAGGGCCCTCTGGTCTCCCTGGCCCCCCTCCACCTCCTCAGCCTCCCTGCATCAGCTAATATTGCAGGTGAGGCCAAAAGTGCAGGTGAAGCAGTGGGTGTGCACCTCCCCTACAATGAGTAACGGGAGAGAGACAGACATGGGCCCTGGCCTCAGTGGGCTTTCTCTGGCCTTCCCACACATGTTCCTCAAAAGACATTATTAGCAGGGTATTACAGATGGCAAAGCACCAGGAAGTGCCATCTCAGCTTCTCCTTGGGGATATGATAAGACTCTGTCCGGGCCTACAAACAGGACTTTATGTTGGGGAGATTTGGGCTACATTATGTGGCCTGTTGACCAATGGGATGCTGGGAGTTGGGGGTGGTACTAGAGCTAACATCAGGGAAGTGACATGGGACAAAAACCAAGTCCTTTAGCTTTAGGGAGGATATAGCTCAGAGAACACTTCCCAGGTTGTCTCTTCTTACCTGGCTGAACTGGAGTCCAACTCACTTGGGGAGGCTGGGATGTAAACATGAGGCTGCTCAGCAGAGGCAGCGACGGTAACAGTGACCATACAACTCGAGGGGTTTCTCACTCTGAAGGAAGTAAATGGAGGGGTGAGTGTGTAAACATTGAGAGCTGACATCTTCCAGCATCAAACAGGGTTTGGGGAGCCTACTCCTGAGACAGCCATTTCAAGGAGTTTAAAAATATGCCAATGTTTTTAAACAACCCATGCAAATCACTGACCTTGTGTTTTACAAGGTTCCTGAGATCAGTGGGTGGAACCACTTACTTTACAGATAAGAAAACCCAGGTGAAGTGACTAGGTAACACTGTGAGTCAGTGGTAAGACTTTAATTTTAGAGTATCCTTCCCCCACTACAGCCAAAGGCCTTGGCCTGTGACTCACGTGGTCTGAGGAGAGCATGGGAGCTACCAGGGCCTTGACAGACACAGTCCAGCTCACCTCCTTGCTGGATGGGACAGCCCCTTCCAACACCAAGGGAGAGAGGAACAAATAAATTTAGGCAGCACCAAAGAAGAGACTTGGATGCACCTCATTTTGGAAGGCATCTGACATGAGCAGAGGCAAGAAACGGACACGCATGATGGTTTTTCTGAATATCCACCACTTGGCTGCACACACAGCCGTTGGCCTGGAATCTGACCTCCTAGCTGGCTCACAAGTTTTTTCTCTGACCAGGCCCTTACTTGCTCTCACTCTGCCTGCTGTAGGTCAGGGCATGCTGCTGGGCACCACCACTGCCCCCCCGCATTGTGTGCCATCCACTTCACAAATACCCACTCTCCAGTGGCCTTGGGACAGCTCTATGGGCACGTACTGTCGTGGGCTAAATTTGGCTTCTTTCCAACATGTTGCTGCTCAGACCAACCTCTGAATGTGGCTGCTTCCACCTGGCCCGGGCTCTGGGGCATCACTCCCTTGCTAGAGAATCCAGTGCCCAAGTACACAACTAGTTTAAGAGTGGGGAGGGAGGAAAACAATCATGATCTTGCATTTGCCTAGATCCCCAGTCTCATCTTCTCAAACTTTGTCATATATACCCGAATCTCTAGGCATACTGACTGACTTTCTCATATCTTTGCACATAACACCACCTTCTCCTCTGGGAAGCCCTTCTGGAGTACCTGCTCTCTCACCCGAGGCTGGGTGAAGTACCCTGTTTCCATGCACCCAGTCATCCTGTGCCTATTCCTATGTCACCTTATGATATAGGAATGAACCATGGAAACTGGAGGAGATGGACTAGCTGGGAGGGGAGGCCCCACGGGAAACTGGAAAGACAGATACGGGATAAGATACAAAGCCAGAGAGTGAGAAGAAACTGACTGCAAGAGGAAGGAACAACTAGCAAGTGTCTGGCATCCTGGTCCACACCCAGCACAAGAGTTGAAGGGGCAGTAGAACTGAGGGGGCAAGGGAAGAAAATATCCCATGGGGATCCTTCTAGGACTGCAACATGAGCAATCACAGACCTCCACCAGGAGGGCTCCTATCCCTGGTCAGGTAACATCCCATCTCCCTCCCATAGCCTACTCCTTCTAGTCTACAAGGTCCAGCCCTGGCCCTGCCCACCTGGTCTCCTTCCCCCTCGTCACCTCACTTCCTACCCTTCAACCACAGAGCCCTTCTTTCAATCTCTTCTCCTCAACTTCCTCTCCCATCTTGGTCTTTGTACATGCTGCCCACTTGTGTCTTCCCAGGTTCTCTTCCAGTCTGGCACCTCCTTGTGCTTCAGGTTTCAACTACACTGTCCCCTTCTTAGCAGAAAAGCTTTCCCTGACCATCCTAGCTACAATACCTCCTTATCCTGGCCTCTCTCCATTAGAGGACCCAGTTTCCTTCTTTTCTGGGCTTATCACAAATGGAGAGGCAACAGATACAGCACAGTGATAAGTAGTACAGGCTCTGGACTCTGCTTTTTCATCCCTGTTAGGCCACTGCCTGGCTGAATGACTACTGGCAAGCTATTCAACCTTCCTCTGCTTCAGTTTCTGCTCTGTAGATCTGAGATAATAATAGTACCCCCCCTCTATGGTTGGTGTGAAAATCAAGTGAGTACACACAAAGCACAAGAACAGTGCCTGCACATTTTTAGTACACAGCAAATGCTAGTGGTTATCATTATGGTATTATTGCTATAGTGTTTATTTGTTGGTGCACCATGTGCTCCCTGAGGGTGAGCAGGCAGGGCCCTTGCCTTCTTGTTCAACGTGTATGTGGCTGCTACCTACAACTGGCTCACAGGAGATACTTATATACTGTCTCTAGGGCCATAGCTCTTGGTTATTTCTAAACTCGTGGCCACCTTGGGGAAAGATCTCCAGAGAGCAAAGGGAGCACCCAAATGTTGCCATGCAAGGCCACCCTGGCTGGCAGTGGTGGCAGTGGAAGAGTTCATCCAACATCATTTATCTCTGGGGAGCTCCCATCCACACCAGGACACACCTTCCTCAGAGACCTTCCATCTCCGTTAATGGCAAAGGCATTCCATATCCTCTCCCGACCCAGGTTTTCATGCTCCAAAGGGCTGCCAGAAAATATGATACTCTGTGCACTTTCTCTGTTCCAGGCTTGGTCTAACAGACTGGTTGCTATAGCTCCCGACTGAAGCCCATGAAGACCTACCCCTGGGGCATTCATTGCTGGTCACCTTCCCACTACCTCCCAGCCACTCACACCCGCAGAGAGTAACAGATTTGCCTAACATGTTATGGTTTGTTCTGCATGGTGGCCCATCAAAAAAACCTGGGCTGTAGCAGTGGCTCAGCACAGCATAACCCTTACCTGCTGGCCTGGCTGTCCAGTTCTACAAGCTGCTCAGGTCTTCTGGGGCTGCTCTGTGGCTCTGGGGTCCTGGGGGCTGCAGGCTGCTGGGAGGGTGCAGCTGGGTCTCCCTGGCCACCTCTCAGGGCTGTGGGCTTCTCCTGCCAGGTCTCTCCCACCTTGGAAGCCACATTCTTCTCTTCAGAACCAGCCAAGTTGCTGAGGAAGAATAAATATCCTTATGGAGCAAGTGCTTTGGGACCAGTCCTTCTCTACCCACTGCCTGCTGATGTCACCTCCTGTGGCCATAGTGGGCTCCTCTTCCAGAAGATGGGAAAGAGAAGAGCCCAGCATGGCCCCCACCACACGGAGACCAGTCTTTCTCGTCTTTGGGAGAATCCCACTACCACTGCTCCTTTCCCACTTGACAAAGACTCTGAGAACACATGATGACTTCAATGAGGTTTTAAAAGACAGTCTTCTAGCTGGAAACAAACAGTGGCATTCCTGTCCCTGCCCTCCCACTGCCATCTTTCTTTTCTCCAAGCCTTCTCAGTCCCAGTCTGTCTGTCCTGCCTAAAAAGCCTCAAGCCATCTGGTTTTCTCCCCAGGCCCTGGTGCTCAGAAGACTTAAGCAGCCCCACAGGGGCCCAGCTCTCTCAGAAGGAGCTTCTCCCCTAGGCTCCCCTGGCGGGCTGGGTGAGGGTGACAAAAGGGAAACAGTGCCATTATGCTCACTAATTTTCAAAGAGGCTGGTGACCCCACAATGGGTCACCAACCCCCAAAGACTCCCAGCCAGACCAGAAATGTGTGACTCGGCCCATTTGTGATCCTTGCGCGCCATCTGGTGGATAGTGCGGACAAGACTGCAGCTTAAACCATGCCAAGATCCATCTTGCCCAGGGCAGCCATTTTCCTTATTGATGGTCACATTTCCCAGCTGGCACCGTGGTCGGAGCTCTTGGCTGCAGGAAATGGCGGTGCACGCGGATGCACACATGCTGAAATGTGTAGGAGCTCAGCACACGCACAAGCAGGCACATACGTATTGTTGTGGCAGCTTTATTTTCACAGTTAGGAGTAATTTGTCCTTTATTGCTAAGTAATCACAGCTATTATTACGAGGCAATCGCATTTTCATCCCCTTTTTACAGATGAACAATCTGGGGTGAGGGTCCCTTTGCCCCTCATAAATAGCAATCAAAGGGCGCCTGGGTGGCTCAGTGGGTTAAGCATCTGCCTTCTGCTCAGATCATGATCCCAGGGTCCTGGGATCAAGCCCTGTGTCAGGCTCCTTGCTCAGTGAGGAATCTACTTCTCCCTCTCCCTCTGCCTACCACTCCCCCTCCTTGTGTTCCCTCTCTCTCTCTGTCTGTCAAATAAATAAAATCTTTAAAAAAAAATGGCAATCAAGATAGAACTTCAATTCCCTCCCGGGGTTCAGTCTGACCATATAGCCAGCTCTACACTTCCCTCACTAAGTGGAGATGGAACTGGGGTGGAAGCAGAGCAAGAGTTCATTACTTAAACGTCCCAAACAAGCAAACAAACAAACAGGCCCTTCTCAACCTCAGTTTCCACCCCCACAACAGCCAAACATTATGAAAGAGCTGTCTACACTCACTCTTGTGACTTCTTCATTCCTGTTTCCTTGTCAACTTTCCCCTGAAGCTACTACTGCTTCCCAATATCCCAAAAGACACAGGTATCAGATCTCCAGGATCTCGGGGATCCCAAAAGCAACCATTTGAAGCCGAAAAACCCAATTTGAATGCTCTGGATATTTTATCCAGGTAGACAAATCTTAGAGACACCCCAAGGGCTGTTCCTCCTTGGTCCGTCACTCCAAACTTAGTCTACAGTCTCCATAAGATTACTATCAGGACAAAAACATTTCTTAAAAGCTCCCTCTACAAATATTAGTAGGAAGCTTTAGCCTTCATGTTGAGCAGGTAACCTCAGTTTCTCCCATCTGCCACAAACACAACTCTCATAAAAAAATTAAGTGGGGCAAAGATGAGAGCCAACACTTATAAAACCAGTGAGTTTCGTGGTTGTGTTTTTATAACTGACTCATGGCTGAAAATTTAGAATTAAAGCCATGAAATCTCTTTTTGTATCTATCTGTATGTTTATGTATATATGTATGTTATACATGTGTAATATTTTCCTGTCTCTGGAAAGTATACCAAATTCACTTACAAAGTCCCTTATCCTCTATTCCAAATGACTTAGAGACAAATAAGCACTTACACAAATTAAATATTCCTAAGACTTTCATAAATTAAATAAATTCTAAACTTCGAGTGTAAAAAACCAGTATTCTTACAAAAATTAACCCAAATGTTTTAAAAATTCAAGTTCAAAACATTTAGCTAAATCTTTGGCAAATAAGACTAGTTTAATATTCCTAGTTTAATAAGACAGTTATGTCTCATGAGTTATCAACCTTACTACAAGCACATATTTTTATTCTACTTGAGTATAATCTTCCTAAACTTAATGGGTTTACTAGCGCAATAAGCTAGTATTACATCTACTAGGTGTTTAAGATTAAAAAAATATACATTTGCTTTTAATCAAACTGAGTCATTATTCTGACAAACTCTATTTCAACAGTAATTATGTTTTATAATATGTCAGCTTAAAGACAGTTTCCAAGATCTTTTTGGAAATTTAAAACCTTAGATTCATGCTAAATTAAATTAACAGATATTTGCTAAATACCTAGATCATTTCAAAGTAAGATAAAATACTGAAACATTAGTTACTAAGCCTAAGTTTAAGTTTATATACTTTTTGCTGCTTATTTTTTATAGTACAGAGAGTCTGTAGATAAATTTGTTAATAAATGTCTTCATTTGTCCACACTGAAAAATTATATTATAAAAAAGTATGTAACTATAAAATTTTATGAGATATATATTCATAAGCTTTACTAGTCTACTGTAAAATGCTGGTATATGACAAACAGTTCAAAATGATCTACCTCCTAGTTTTCTCTGTAAAATAGAAGTTACTAATAGTTAAAAATTATAATCAGTATGTATAAATAAGACTACTAAAAGTAATTAATGGCAAAGGAGAACAACTTTGTATGCAAGGTATGCAAATATATTTTGTTATATAAATATATATTTGTTATAATATATTTTTATAAATATAAATACATTATATATAAATAATATATTTTTGTAATAGAAGTTTTGTCCTAAATTAACCAGTGGTTCCAAAAGTCTTGCAAGATGAAATGTAAATGGGTATTTTTAAGATTATACAATGTTTACAGAAAAGAAATTTTATTTGTTGTGGTCAAAATCTACTAAGTTTAATGAAATTATAATATTTTCAAAAAGAGTTCTAGTGTCAAGTATTGTACTGATACAAAACTAAAATTTGGCTTTCTCTCTGTTAAAATAACAAGATTTTCTTGGGGTGCGTGGGTGGCTCAGTTGGTTGAGCATCCGACTCTTGATTTTGGCTGAGGTCGTTATCTCAGGGTCGTGAGATTGAGCTCCATGTTGGGCTCTGCGCTCAGTGTGGATTCTCTCTCTCTCTTCCTCTGCCCCTACCCCCCAATAAATAAATAGAATCTTAAAAAAAAAAAGATTTTCTTGGCTCATTGGCCTGCTCCTAATAAAAGGTTAAAGGTCTTTCTTTTTTCCTCAGTAATCTTTTTATTTTATTTTATTTTATTATGTTATGCTAATCACCATACATTACATCATTAGTTTTTGATGTAGTGTTCCATGATTCATTGTTTGCGTATAACACCCAGT